CAAGGTTTCAAGACGTCAAACCGTCTAGCTTACAGTGAGATAAGGAGACTAGAAGGCACCTGACTATTACAAACTGTGTTATACGTTGTCATTGTGACAATTTTGATAACCATTTGAATCTTTGCACCAATTGATGCATGGTATTAATACATTCTTTGAATGCGGTAATTACTCGTAAAGACATATACAAGAGTGAAACAATATTAAATGTTCCACAGCCATCGCTAATTAATTAGTTATCCATGTGGAAACGGGGTTCTCTTCTACAGAGCAAAACTATTACGTAAGCCTGATAAATATTGTATGACAAGCGCGTACTGAACAGACTTGTGGCTTATGTCGAATTAATTGTGTGTTCTGTGATTATATATAAGCTCGTTTTAAGGACAGAGCTAGCAAAATATAAACAGCGGCATGATACGAAGTGAGTTTGGTATCCAAGGAAGGTAATGATTACTATGGCTCGAATGCACAGTATTCGCCCTTCAAACATGTATACGAGATACTGTACACTTACGTCACAGTTCGAGTTTTTGTTGAAACCTAGACAAGCTGCTTGGCACGTATAGTCATCGCGTTGGTAATTGGTTGGAAACCGGTTCCTTGTGGGAATTACAATCAATATTAATGGTAAAAGGCAACGAGAAGCCAGCCTAGTATATCAAGCAGCTGAAACATTGTTATGGTACTCAATATGAGTTTTCTTTTGTGAATGAACTCAAGACAACATTATGATAATCAAGACACTATCAGTAAACAGTCGTTTCTATTTCAAGTAGCGTTGCAGTGTTGATCAATCAATTCATAGGTTTAAATGCTCATTTTCAGCGTTGCCGATGTTTCGGAAGAAACAGAACGACGTCGGTGGTTTTGGCCTGGTTTAGTCAATAAATACCATGTACATTATATATAGCCATTTTGTGTCCGACAAAATTTGGACATTTTAAAGAGGTTTGACAATGCTTCGGTGTAAATAAAGGAATTGTTAAAAACAAGGACAGAGGTCACTTGGAGTGAAGGTAAAAAGAAGCGGCTATGGCAACGAAGAGCATTACACAAAGACAAAATACCAACGTTTAAAAGCATGTGTATTGAATATTTACAATTACGAGTTATATAGCTGCATTGTTCTGTATGACTATCACGTTATCGATTGTTTACAGGACATCGTCATTAAACATTTATATTCCCAATGTCTACTCTCAAGGGGGCGCTACAGACAAAGTTCTCAGTTCATTACTTGTCTGTTTTGTTGTATTTCCCGAGTGTTGTGTAAGGTTTAAACATAGTAATAGTACTATCCTAAAACTCTGTATCATTTTGCTTTTCCTTTACATTCTTATGCCCTTAAAATGTGCAATTTTAGGTATCTATGACGTCAGTAGTTCTAAAAAAAAAGGGGGGACACACATGGTATACATGTAGACTTCGTTTCAATAGCTTATACATGTTCAAACATAGATGAAGCAACTTTTGAAAAGGGAAAATATTTACAGAGAGAGGATAAAGTTCGTAACTGGAATGTGATGTAAAGAGGAAATAGTTTTGGAATTTTGGAAGTGGTGCAGACAAGAAATATTTGTTTTGTTTTGAGACGGTTCAGAGAGGTGATGTTGTTTGATACTTGGTGATCTTGGAGATGGCCTAGAAAGGTGATATTACAGTATATTGATATTTAGAGATAATTAAGAGGTGTGATATTGTTTAAGAATAAAAATGGCTAAGAGGTATGTTATTCCCGATTATTGGATACGATTTCGAGAGGTGATATTGTTGATTCTTGGATATATTTTAAAAAGGGAATAATATTGATACTCGTAGATGAATAAGAGTAGTGATATTATCGATACATGTAAATGATTTGGAGATGTGAAATTGTGAATACTTTGAGATTAATAAGAAAGGTGATATTATTGATATGTTGGGGTATTTTAAAGAGGTGATATTGTTAATACGTGGAGATGGTTTCGGGAGGTAATATTGTTGATACGTGGTATAGTTTAGAGAGGTGATATTGTTAATACGTGGTATAGTTTAGAGAGGTGATATTGTTGATACGTGGTATAGTTAAGAGAGGTGATATTGTTGATACATGGTAAAGTTTAGAGAGGTGATATTGTTGATACGTGGAGATGGTTTAGGGAGGTGATATTGTTGATACGTGGTATAGCTTAGAGAGGCGATATGAGAGGTGATATTTTTGATACGTGGATATGTATTAGAGAGGTGATATTGTTTATACGTGGTATAGTTTAGAGAGTTGATATTGTTGATACGTGGAGATGGTTTAGGGAGGTGATATTGTTGATACGTGGTTTAGTTTAGAGAGGTGATATTGTTGATACGTGGTATAGTTTAGAGAGGTGACATTGTTGGTACGTGGAGATGGTTTAGAGAGGTGATATTGTTAATACGTGGTATAGTTTAGGGAGGTGATATTGTTGGTACGTGGTATAGTTTAGAGAGGTGATAATGTTGATACGTGGAGATGGTTTAGGGAGGTGATATTGTTGATACGTGGTTTAGTTTAGAGAGGTGATATTGTTGATACGTGGTATAGTTTAGAGAGGTGACATTGTTGATACGTGGTATAGTTTAGGGAGGTGATATTGTTGATACGTGGTATAGTTTGGTGAGGTGATATTGTTGATACGCGGTATAGTTTAGAGAGGTGATATTGTTGATACGTGGTATAGTTTAGGGAGGTGATATTATTGATACGTGGTATAGTTTAGAGAGGTGATATTGTTAATACGTGGAGATGGTTTAGAGAGGTGATATTGTTGATACGTGGAGATGGTTTAGAGAGGTGATATTGTTGATACGTGGAGATGGTTTAGAGAGGGGATATTGTTGATACTTGGTATAGTTTAGAGAGGTGATATTGTTGATACTTTGTATAGTTTAGAGAAGTGATATTGTTGATACGTAGTATAGTTTAGAGAGGTAATACTATTGATACATGGATATGGTTTAGAAATGTTATATCATTAAAACGTGATATAGTTCAGAGACGTGATATATTGTTGATACATGGATATGATTTTGAGAGGTGATATTCTTGATATTTCGAGATGGTTCAAACAGATGAAATTCTTGATACGTTGAGATGATTGAGATAATTGATATTGTTGATTGTTTGAGAGGGTTTGCAGATGCGATAATGTTTTTGTTTTTTTATATATTTTATTTTATTATTGATACTTGCAGATGGTGAAGGTGTTGCTATTTTTTATAGTTGCAGATGATTAAGTGATGTGACATTGTTGATAGTTTAAGACGGTTTGTTTAGTGTTATATTGTTGATATTTGGGAATATTTTAAAGAGGTGATACTATGAATACTTAGAGATAGTATAGAGAGGTGATACTTTGAGATCATGTTAGAGATGTGATAATTTGGTGACCGAGGGCTGGTGTAGAGTGAGAATAGTGCTTATGACTTAGATATGGTTAAGAGAGCCGATAGTGTAAGTGGCAGGGAGGAAGAGGATACTGTTGATATACATGACGTGGGGTATAGAAAGGTTGATTTCACTGATTTGAAATTGTTGTACGTGATATAATTTCATGTGTGTTTAAGGATCTAGTAAAATGGTAAATGTTACGGAAACAGTGTCTGATAAATATCAACGTGTGATATGATACATCTAAAATGTCTATTGATGTAGGAGTGTGGTAAAGGGGATAGATGCGTGGGTGTGGTGAATGATTTAGGGTGTGGTAAAGGGTGTATGAGAAACGTGTCGAGAGGTGTGGTAAAATCAATTAGTGATGTGGTAGATTTTTAAGTGTCTAGTGATGCAGAAATGTAATAAGGGCTACATTGTGAAAAAGGAAAAGGGGTCAGGTATTGATGTAGGAGACTGGTATAGGGCCTAGCTGTGTTGATGTGGTGAATGATGTAGGGTGTGGTAAAGCGTGTTAGTAAAGTATCTAGAGGTGTGGTAAAGCGTGTTAGTAAAGTATCTAGAGGTGTGGTAAAGTCTGTTAGTAAAGTATCTAGTGGTGTGGTAAAGCGTGTTAGTAAAGTATCTAGAAGTGTGGTAAAGCCTGTTAGTAAAGTATCTAGAGGTGTGGTAAAGCGTGTTAGTAAAGTATCTAGAGGTGTGGTAAAGTCTGTTAGTAAAGTATCTAGTGGTGTGGTAAAGCGTGTTAGTAAAGTATCTAGAGGTGTGGTAAAACGTGTTAGTAAAGTATCTAGTGGTGTGGTAAAACGTGTTAGTAAAGTATCTAGAGGTGTGGTAAAGCGTGTTAGTAAAGTATCTAGAGGTGTGATAAAGCATGTTAGTAAAGTATCTAGTGGTGTGGTAAAGCGTGTTAGTAAAGTATCTAGAGGTGTGGTTAGGTCAAGTGATAGAGTATGCAAGTGTTTATTGATGTAGAAATGTAATAAGAATTCCATTGTGACAAAGGGGTCAGGTATGTGGTTTATTTGACTAGTACGTTAATAAATAAAGAGGTGTCGGTGTGATAGATGGTCTATAGTGTGAAAAAGGGTCTCAGGGTGTAGTAAAAATTATAGGGGTGTGTCTAGATACTGGAGTGGTAAGAAAAAAACACTGAAGTATGCAGAGGTGCAGTTAACATGTAGTAGACGGTAAACATTTGTGCAAAGGAAAATCCTGTATGGTATGTCGTAACGGGTGTATGTGTGACAAAACAGGCTAGTGTGCAATGAATAGAGTAGAGATGTGATACAGTTTCATGTCGAGGTAGAGACAGTGTTGACAACCATTGTTATATAGTATACTTACTGCAAAATTTGTCATACATATATTAAGAAATAATAAATATATTTTTAAGATTTTTTCTAGCGCTATGGGGATTCGTTTGATCAGTATGCTTAAATCAATAAGAGTAGTGTTCATTTATTGAGTCATAAACTAGTTCATGATATCTTACAAAATATGTCAATATGTTGTCAATAAAATACACATAAGCTTAAGCGAAAGAGTGAAAAAACGTAAAGAATTAAGTTTACCAAAGAAAAAGACTCACCGTCAGCAACTATGTTAAAGATAAAAATAGAATTGAAAGAAACAACACAAACATACATATCCATAACAGGACGAACGTCTAAAGATTTTTAACCATTTAAAAGAAAACAAAACAGCAGTCTTGAAAATGACATATTAAACAGAAAATAGAGACGAGACATCAAGTCTTCTATGGTGTTTTTTTTAATAGATATATATATTTTCAAATAATTTTAAATTCAAACGTTTATAATGCAATATATAATAAATAATCATGAATGGGTGTTCTTACCTTTCTCGGTCGAATAATTTATCCAGAATGAACTTGTTACGCTGACAACCAGGAATAGTATTCCAAGAAATCCAAATAAGAACGCTGCATAACGTATTTGACTAAAATATTTGTGTTCCCAATAGTCCGAGAGAACACGCCAGTCTCTCACTGACAGATGCACCTCAATACGACTGGGAAAATTCCTTAATTTCTTTTTTGATTTTTCAATAACGTGGTACGTTTTATAACGCTGGATTCTGTGCCTTCGTATATAGTTAATGTCGTCCTCAGATATATAATTCCCTTTTAAATCCTCGTGCAAAAACATGAGCCCCTCCTCCCGGGCTTTTTTGATAGGGGTGGAGGCCCTATCCGTGGGCTCTGGAATCGCAATGTCAGGCAGTTCTAGCCGACGCCGAAATGATGCCCGCCTGTCCCGGGACCATTTTGTCCAAGCAGATTCCGAAAGTCTCCCCAGATATCTAGAGCCATTTCTAGACCGATATGACCCAATTGATGTTCGACTTTTGATAGAACTTCTAGGTGATGATCGTCTATTCCAGCCATTGTTTTCTGTATCGTTTATATTTACACCGGAAGAAAGATGGCTTTGAGATTTGCCAGGAATGGCGAATAAATCGTCAAAGTTTGTACCGTCTGGGTACATAGCGCTAGACGTTCGTCTAGGCTCACATGGTAACGATGTGGAGCCCTCCCTGTCACGATCCTTGTCTCTCCCTCCTCTGTCGCCTCGATCACGCTCTCGCCGGCCTCCGCCTCCTCCACTTCCACCCCCTGACCTCACTAGTAGAGGCTTCGTATCCGTCCGGTCCTTCATGACGCTATCCACTTCAGTTGGAGGCTTGCCAAATTGATCCTCTCCCGGTGTACACCTTCTGGGTTTTTCATTAAAACTATGTGTACTTCTTATACTTTCCTGCGAAGAAAATCCTGATGTGATAGTCTCGCCTAGACCACTAGTCTCTGTTGAACTTTGTTGGTGTATTCTTTGTAAGCTGGGCGACTTTTCCAGTATACCTCCTCTATCAGGAGACAAAAACTTTTTTTCGCCACCACCGCCATTTGCTTTGTTGTTCTTGCTGGTTGACTCAGTGCTACAGTTCTTTTCCCCTTCCTTACTACCCATGACGAGCGTTCAATAACAGAATGGCTCTAGCTCCACATTGAACACCTAATTGTGTTCGTACCACCTATTGCAAAGGCAGACATGTTTTGTTACTACGACAGTGTTTAAACTACTACTACTACTACTACTACCACACTGTCAATGTATATACCAGTATACATCACGGTTTAAACGTTTACAGAATATGAAAGCGACATACGACAGCGGTAATATAGACGCGAGCCAAATGACACCGTACTGTTTGATACAGAAACGGGTGATTAGTACCGACACACGGAGACAGGCGGATGACAATGTATTTATACAAGTCTATCATGGGATCAACTGACACTGGTCTAATGCTCTGTCGTGTCACCCATCAGTTTTATTCCTCAACGAACGCACCTCCTAGTATGTCTCTACGCTTGTTGTAATGAATCGTTAAGTACAGCCAAATGGATCAGCCAGTGGGCCAGCATACTATTAAATGAAGTGGAATTAAAAACACGCATCGTATTGTCATGTATGACTAGTGCATCACTTAAGCTGCTTCATCCATATACCTTACAAACAATCCTGCCTTCCAGCAGAGACCCAACACTTCTTTTTTGTTGTTGACACGGCCAGAAATATAGGGAAATGTCAATTGCCATAGCTATGCATATTTATACAACAATCAATTATGTCATACTAGCTCATTTTTACATTAGAAATGAACTAATGATGGTTGGTTTCACAGGAGAAGCTTGGAGTGTTTGAGAGTGTTAAAGTCGCTTAGCGTTATCAATGAGATAGCTTTATCCTTTTTAGCTTGTCGTTAGCAGCAGCTTTGCTTTTAAAAGCTTCTCAGCGTGCAAACAAGTTAGTATTACACTCAGCTATGAAGCTGTGTGCCTTTGAGAGCCAGTCCATACGGCAGGCTGTTGTTTAAAACCATTATATCCTGCTAGAGATCCTACCCAAATTGAGCCTCTCGGTAACATACGTTCGTCATTTACCGGTTTTCTAGGAAATAAACATTTAATATTGGTGTTGTACACAAACAATACTCGAGCAGACGACAGAAGATTGTAGCTTTAGATGACACCCGTGAAACTAACTATCTACAAAATCGATTTTTCTCATGTGTACGGCACAATGGGTGTGTAGCCGGTGTACGTAAGCTCGCCTTCGTTCGTGACATGAGCGCCACCTACCAGCCAAAACGACTCGGAGGCCTCGCTGCAAACTGAACGCACTACCTTGTGTGGTGAACATGCATTTGTCAATATTACAGCTAACGTGCTCGCGCTCTTACAACTTAACACTACAATACGGTATGGAGAGAGTAGGTTGTAAAAGAACTAGTACAAAAAATAATGTTGACAATTCAGTATTACCTTGCAAATTCAATGTAAATAGATAGAAGCTTCTACGTGTACTCTTGCAAACAAATATACTATTGATTTATGTATGTTTTAGTACATTGACGCTGGTACATAATGTACGTTCAAATGCTAAGGTTGCAAAGTAGCTTTGTTGGAATTGTTAGATTAACTGCATTTTTATCCATTTTTTTGTGCCCATAAGATGCCACTACACGCACCATTTACATTGTACCCAACAAAATCTCAAATATAATGATTGAATACAGTACAAACTAAACATTATCTTGTAAATGTGATGTTCAAAAAGCAAGAACAGCTTCTAAGTTTTCTCTTGCGAAAAACGTCCTTACTTTTACAGTGTTTTATGTTCGCACACTAACGCTAGTACATTTGTACGTTCCAATGCTAGATTTACTGTGCTTTTATTTATTGTAATATTTAAATGTTCATGTCTTGAAACACGGGCCAATTTATTTCAAAATATTGACAAATCCTGATGTTTTTATTGTTGCTATTGCATTAGATGTTTTCTTGTTATTGTATATAATAGTTTTTGTGGATGCACAGTAGTCTAGTGGTAGGACGCCGGGCTCGTGACCGAATGGTTGCGGGTTCGAGTCACGTAACGGCACGCTGTTGTATCCTTGAGCAAGATACTTTACTCCGCTTGTTCCAGTGTACTCAGCTGTAAATGAGTACGTGGTTAGGCAGTGCTAGAATTGTTGAATGATAGCTGTGAGCGCCGATATGGCGGCACCGGCTGTATGCTCCCCAAGGAGTTGAGAAATATATTGGCTGGTTGCAAAGGCCGTACATGTATAACCACGGATAATGATTTGTGAACCGCATTGAGACGACCTAAGAACTAGGTTGGGATAAAGCGGTATATAAGAACCTCGAACTATTATTATTATTATTATAATATATATTTATATATAATCTAAGATGTAATACATCATATTGTAAACATTACACGTATTACAATGTATAATGAACGTTGTAATGCACTGTAAGCAATATCAGGTACATGTTGATAAGCTATAATGATACAATATATGCAATGTAAGATATAGTTGCATTGCATATAATATCAGATATAGTGCATTATATTTGCATTTGCTCTGCATCCTTCCACTGCAATGCATTGAGAAGACAAATGCTGTTGTGAGCCTATAACAACTTTTGCTATTGAAATGTCATCAATTTCATTGTTGTCAAGACTTAATTTGATGTTCAAAGATCTATTAGAAACTGCCGAGCTTAATTAAGTTTGTCATCAATAGCAATGTGTGTTATAGTACCATAACAACAGTTTCTTAAACGTTCATTGCTTAGACATAAAGGTACTGTATGATACATTATATATAGTATAACGCAAAGTAAATACAATGTATTGCATAGTACCTCAGAAATCCTGCCAACAATAGTACGTTGAATACATTATATAATGCATTGTAAACGAATTATAAAACAAAACCATGATATGTAATATAAGTTATAAACACATTTGATGCAGTGTAAGGTAAACATATATACATGTACTTGTTCACGTATAAAAATAGAATATATGAAAATCACCTGTCTTCATTTAATGAGGTAAGTGTATAGACAAGATATCAAGCTTATAATATGTAGTAGTTGTATATAGGTTTCCGACACTTCATTTATTTTCTCGTCCTATGATAAAAGGCTTCAGGGTTTCTGTGAGTGTTGGGGAATGAATTATTCAGAGTCCTTCGTTGCAATTACGTGTATTGGGATCCCTGGAGAACGCATTGCCAACCTGCGATGTAACTTCACTAAATACTCAGGATACCATAGAACAATCGATTAATATGGCATGCCCCTGCCCTTCGCCTTTATATAAAAAAAAAATCCATCACATCTGTACTCTGTGTTTGTAAAGAAGATTTATACTGCCTCTTATCCCCACTCAGAGATGTTTAGTGATTCTTAGACGAAAACATAGATCAGTATTATTTCTTCTGTACAAGGCGTTAGGAAGTCTGGTGTTTATAACAAACACAAAAACAAAAGAAACACAACCACATTCCGATCTTCTGGTGGAAATGAGTGACTCGTTAGTCCATATAACAAGAGTCTGATACTTCAATTACATGACTTAAGGGTGTATGCTAACAACACATCATACCGGTCTTTTGTATAAGAGTAGCAGTTGTATGTTTCTTAAAACCTTTAAAGGCGAAGGGTGCGAACAAGGAAAATATATATTTCACCTTTTTTTTTTATTATTGATGATTTGTTTTAGGTCATCTTCAGCAGAAGTATTTTATATAAATAACATTTTGCGATGCAATTTACAGAGTAATATTTGTTCGACATTACATAAAATATCTTGTTAAATCAAATATAATGTTCATCACAAAAAGTTACCGACACACTGCCTTAACATAATAATACACAACATTTGATAAAACGCCCTATCTAGTTAAAATAAAGCTACAGTACATAGATGTGCAATTAATACAATTAGCTTATACGTTAATCAATACGATTTTGAGAAATTCGCAGGCGCTTACTACTTTTCATATGCCACCTGGCTAATATCTCCCTATGTGTGTATGCCTGCGTGTGTGATGGGGATGTAATGTGTTCTGTTTGTAGTAGGACCGTGCTTCCAACGGCATCATGTATATTGCCACCTCAATTGAATGCTACAGCACAGATACCGCAACATCCACCCCAGACCATTTTATATATCGCCTGGTTTATTGCAGTTGTGTGGGCAGGAGAAAAACACCTTCTCTGTGTACGACGTGTACGACGACTTCGGAGATGAAACCCCGGCCGCCTGCGTGGAAGGCTGGAGGCTAACCACTCGACCAATCCGCCTATTTGCTTGTTTGCTATTAGGAGATTGTGGTATAGTGAAGGTTGTGGCTGTATTCTCCGTCTGATGTTTATGAGTTATTTCCATTGATTCGTAATAATTTTACATTTTGTATGAAATAGTAAATGATTTATGCAGTGAACATGCATCTGTGTACATTTGTCGAGGTCTATACACTGGGCCAGTATTCATGCAACTGTTCTCATGCACAAGCATGGATTCTGTGCCTTATTTCTTCTTCCGGTTATAAATTATCAAAAAAATCTTATTTTCTCAAAGATTTGGAAACGAACTTGAAGAGACTTGAAATAAACATTGAAAACAGTTTTCGTCTTTAAGTCTATTCAATGTTTGCCCAAATCATTGACAAAATAAGATTTACTTATTAATTCATAGCCGTAACAAGAAAATCGGCTTGAGCACAAAATCCATGCTTGAGCATGAGAACGGTTTCATGAATACGGGCCCTTGTCTATGAACCCGACGGAATTATATCGAACAAAGTCAGATTATTAATCTTAATATACCTTACTTTTAAATTAGATACAGAGTACCGATTTTATTGATACTATGGATTTCAGTACCATATCGTCACCACTATATAAGTTTATATTCTACCAATTTTAAATATGTGACATATCAGCATTGTATGTATTTCTACTATATAGTGATTTAAACTTTAGTCGTATGTAATGATGTAATATGCAAGTGTTCACTTTTCTATTTTGTCTTCTTGAGTATCCTATTATCAACATAACTTATCTGTGATCGAACCTCGTTCTGCTTTGTTTAATTTTAATTTTAATTTCATATTAACTCTGTTCTTATTATCTAATGTACCTTAAGTGTCATGTTTATGCTATCTGTGGTTACCCGTTTCATGTGATATATAGTTGGTCTTTTGTTTCCATATATATATATAAATATATATATGTTTGTCGCTATACCTCACACGAGCTAATGTTTTTTGTAAGTCAAGTTTTTTGTTTTTTGGATAACCATTTTCCAAAGCAAAAATGCTTCAAAATATCGTCTGCTCTGATAAACTTGAAAGCCAGCTATATCTTGATTTAACCATATTTTATTTGTCATTCAACAAAAAGAATTAGGCAAGTGTTATCTCAATTTAGAAACGCCTTCGCCAATACATTTCATTATATAAATTACAACAACAACAAATATATTTATCAAATATATATATATGAACAAAGAGAAGAGAAAGGGAAAGGAAGAATGAAAAAGAGAAATATTACAATAACGTGAGATATCATCAATCAGAATTTGTCTTTGTCTGGTATACAGAATACAAT